ATATATATATATATGTATGTGTATATATATATATATATATATAAAAGGCTAAGTATAAGTGCATTTTTTATTATTATTTTAGGTAACAAAGAGGGCCAGGTTAAATGTTTTTTTTTTTTTTCTTTTTTTTTTTGCATGTTCTACACAGGTTCGGGCAGGACAAATTTCTAGGGAATGGATTAAAATATATGGCGAAATATGATCTCAAAATTCCAATGGAACCGAAAGAAAAAGCAAGCAAGACTTCGCTATAGTCGTCAGCACAAGTCAAGTCACCTTTATTTATGTAGCACTTTACACAATACTGGACGTGTCAGGGCAGCTTTACACTGTTAAACAGGAAAATAGTTTGTTGATGCAAGAAGACAATATTTCCAGCTAAAGTCAGTTCATCATCATCCAGTTCAGCTCTCTTCCAAAAGTGTCTGTTCAATCAGTCAAGCGTCCCCAACAAAGCATTAAAGGGGTCATATGATGTTGCTAAAAAGAACATAATTTGGTGTATTTGGTGTAATGAAATGTGTTTATGCGGTTTAAGCTTCAAAAAACACATTATTTTCCACATACTGTACATTATTCCTTTCTGAAGCACGTCGATTTGTACAAAGCTCATCGGTCTGAAAAGCGAGGAGTGCTGTGATTGGCCAGCTATCCAGGGCGTTGTGATTGGCCGAATACCTCAAGCGTGTGACGGAAATGTTACGCCCCTCACCATACTGTGCTGCCCTGTCCGGCCGGAGCGACGAGACAAAAACATGAAAACCCATTATAAACGAGGCATCCGTTGCATCCAGTGGGGACATAATTACTGATTATAATGACTTGTACTGTCTTTTTACGCGTTGCGTTGCATCGAGCCGCGTAAACATAAAACCATGTCTGCATTTGTGATCGGAGAAATGACAAACAACAAGCGCTACTCTACACTGCTCAAAACTCACGTTTTGGGCTTGAGAACGGCGCGGCCGGCGATTTCGACAAAGGAGGCTTGCGGCAACCACATGTGACGACCCCGGGCTGGACTCCGCTTCGTCCACGGTGAAAGAAAATCTTCCCACATAGTGAGGTAGACATGTGGGGGCGTGTTTAAATGAGGCGTTTTAGGTAGGCGTGGCTGACTCTTAACTTTTATAAAGAATATCTCTTTGGATTTGAGACTTTAGTCTTTGCAACTTTACAGATCTTCTTTATGCACCAAGAGCTTGTAACACTCCAAAGAGAAAGGAAAACTTGAAATAGCATCATATGACCCTTTAAAAAGGTAAGTCCCCTCCAACATGTGTAAATAATATTTGAATGTAAACTAGATCAACTCTTATTGATCTGGATTTCCCACTATAGCCATGCAGTTTTAAATGCTTCCTGTGAGCTAAACAATGTAGAAACAAAGTCACCTCATCTAAATATTCACAGCAAACACCCTTTCAAAATGACCAAGAAATAAGACCTACACTTGCACTGCTTCTCGAATGTTTGTATCCCCCAGGATACACTCTCAGAAAAAAAGGTACAAAAGTTGTCACTGGGGTGGTACCATGTTCAAAAGGCACACCTTTGTACCTAAAGAGTCCATATTGGTACCTTAAAGGTACATATTAGTTCCTAAAGTGTACAAATTAGTACCTAAAAGATACAAAAGTGCACCTTTTGAAAAGGTACCGCCCCAGTGACAACTTTTGTACCTTTTTTTCGTATCCGGATGACCTACTATTTCCACCCAGATTCTGAAGTGTGCATACGATGGACTTTTTGCAGGAATTACTTATTCAAAAAAGTACCTACTCAAGAGAGTATGCGATTTCAGATGCAGACTATGTTTATTTCATACACTGAGCCTGTCCCATCACCCACACTTGCGGTCTGTGCACTTAACACTTGTCTACTTGCATGACGCATTTCCTGTATTTGGCCCAAGTGTTCAAGTGGACATGAAGACTGTCCAAATACCCACACTTGAGGTCTTGGCCACTTGAGAGCGCATGCACACAACAGGAAGTAAGTGCGCAAGACTGTCTGATGTCTTAAAAATGCCAAAGTGCAGTGCCCTTAACGCCACTCTAAATCCACACTCCGGAGCGGTATTCGAGGCTAAGCGTATCCCATCATGCATTATGTTCATGCATGTATCATGCATTAAAAATCATGAGACTTATTAATAATAATTAGATATTACATATAATTTGGTAGTAAAACATGAAGTGTTGCACATTTTATTGGTGAAAAGATGTGTATTTTGTACAATATATACGACTGCTATTTATCACTTACAAGAACCACAATTATCAAATCGTGTCGTCTGTTAATGAGACTACTGGACATTTAGATGTTCATTTTTAAAATGCAAAGTACAGAAAATAAAGTTAAAGCTCTGTAAACACTTGCATTTTTATAACTCTATAAGTGTGTCCCATAATGAAAAGTTTTACACACACTTGTGGTTTTCATGCTCACTTGGGCCAAATACAGGAAATACGTCATGTAAGTAGACAAGTGGTCAAGTGCAAAGACCGCAAGTGTGGGTATTTGGACAAGCCCTGTAAGTGTGTGTAGAACTTTATTTAACCAGTGGGACCACTGATCTATAATAGAGAATATAGATCATATATATACAGTATATATATAGATCAGTGAGTAGGACACACAACATAGTGTTGTAAAAAATGCAAGTAAACTTTGTACAGAGCTTTATTTACATATTTAATAATTTGCACTTCTAAATTTCAGGATCAGGAACTCCTATGAATGACAATTTAATTGTGGTGCTTCTACTTAAGTGATAAAA